TGCAGTGTCTTCTCAGTGGGATGCCGTGATTTTGTGGGACCCTGGCCCGGAGGGCGATCCAGTGGGCTTAGGGCTTAGGGCTTAGGGTTTAGGGTTCCCTAAACCCTAAACCCTAAACCCTCGAATCAGGAAGCACTGATGATGACGAAAGTGCTGAACGAGGAGGCATCCTCGTGCTCCACCCACGACTTTTCTGATGCCGGCGGCTCTATGTGTCGCTAGGCCCCGGCAAAACTGAGCCTTCGAGAAGTGGTGCATATTTTTTCGAGGATGTTGGCCGCGGCCAAGCTCGGTTGTTTTTGCTGCTGGCGAGTCCCTTGCATCTCCATCCGAACGCGACGCAGGCTCCTTCTGATGGACATGAACCAGCATTGTCCAGTGGTCGAAGAAACCGAGAAAGAGGAAAGGAAAGACGCGAAGCCACAGAGTCGGCGCCGGAGTGGGAGGTAGCCCGCCCGCATGAAGATTGCCCAAGGCCAAACCACCAATCATGAAAGGCAATCACCAGAGTCGCACGCTATCATTGGCGGTGAAGTGCCGTGATGGTCAGATTGTAGGCGGAGGGCCAAATGCGTCTCATCGGGACACCTCCACTACCAGTCTTGCAAAGGTTCCCCCAACAGCAAGAGCTCAGAAGATGCCTGTAAACCTCTGGTGGCTTGTCATTACTTTTTGTTCGAATTTCATGAATATCCAGGAGAGCTCTGGCAGGCAAACCGTGCTGGTTGATGAGACTTTGAACCACATGATTCCCACTGGGTGCATGGGACCCTGCCATGGCAGTCTAAGTATGCTCACCGCCCCTAAACTGGCAAGTCTGATAAGCCCTTATCGCCAATCCAGATCTGTCCCTGGCCTGTCCACAGAAGTAAACACCGAAGCCCAACAAGCAAAGCTTCAGTACCTTGGCAAGAATGCAGAAGACGCTGAAGTCTGTGCACTATCACAGCAAGTCGCAGTTCATGCTGGAATGACAGCAGGGGCGAGTTGCAAACTCGGTCGTGTAGATGGCACAGAAGCACAGCCTGCACGAGCGTGGCACAGTGGTGTCAATCTTTCGTGCCGTTTCCACGACTGTCAACTGCAAAGCTTCTGTAGCTGAAGGCGACTTAAAGATCATCTCCCGACAGGCCACTCCAAGATGTCCCACAGAACGAACTCCGGCTGGATGTCGCTCTGCACACCGATCACGATCTGGGCGCAAAAGCATGCAATGGGGTCACTGCAGCCAGCACGTCAAGCACGTCAGAGGTGGTGATGACGGGGTGGGGGGGAGTGGGTGATACGTGGGAGCAAAGGTCGCATTGCACAGGTGCAGATGATCACGGCTTCCAACATTTCTCCACGAGTTCACTGGGGCAGCTCGTGCAAGCGAATGTCACGCTTCACAAAAACAAAGCTACGATGCTAGATACTAGCCGCTCTGAACTTTCGGCATGCAAAACCAGGATGCGCTGATAACATAGAGTGCTCACTGCAGCCTGCACTTTGGAGCTCCAACAAACAACAAATACTAGTTGTGTCATGTTTTGTCCACATTCAGAACACTATAGCAGTTAAGTCCAAAATGGGGCCTTCTCCCGTTGGTTTTATCATGTCTGGGACTTGCTTACCATAGCTTACCATGATACTAAAGGCATGATGTCGAGGCTTCACTTCGCTCACATCTCACTCAACCGGCAACACTGTCAGACTCTGGAAGCCTTCGCTGGTCGATGTTTAGGCACGGGGGTCTCCGGCCACATATCAGACCCACTGCCCACCAGCTGGTGTGGAGAGTCCAGAGCACACGCGAGCAGAGGCCCCGGCTGCATTCACGACGATCGTCAGGCTTGGAACGATGCTCAGGAAAAGAGCCTGGGCAGGGCATGGAATTCCTTGGCAATCCTCTCTGCTTGAGCCTGGAATCCGCATCACAATTCCCGGCTGGCGTCTTACGTGAACAGTTTCTGATTTCTGGTGCAGGAATGAAAGCCAACCCTTCCAATCATCCATCAGATTCGGCGATCGGGATCGGAGTAGGCTCTTGTCCACAGGCTTGCAAGCGAGGCGCCGCGCACCCGAGCCAGAATCCTGCCAGGATTTGTCGCAGCCGGCACCCTACAGACGCAACGAAGACGCAAGAACACAATCCGGCTGCATCCGAGCTGTTGCTGCGTAACGGCTCCAATGCATCGTTGAATTGACACAATGCGGCTGCACCCGACCCTACAGATGCCAGGATGGCACGGATGAATTGCAGACGCATCCTTGGTCCAATCAGAGCTACTCGACGTGCGAGGGTGGGGCGAAGAAAAGCCACAGCGCTCCAGAGCTCTCAGCACTCCTCCAACAGAGTTGCCCGAGCTGTCAAGGTCGTACGAAAGCTCGGCCTTGACATGTCAACAAATCTCAGAAGCGGAGGCAGCCGCACCCTACTTCTTTGCTGAAGCGACACCTAAACAAAAGGAGGCTCGGTCCTCCCCTTTCTTCAATGCCCTTGCCGTTTCAGACATTGCACACTGAGATGGCTCGGTGTTTGCACCACATCACTAGGTCACTAGGTATATAGTAATGATTAAGGATGCAGAGATGGGGTCAGCGATCCCGGCTTGCAAACCAGCGTCCAATGCATTTCGGACTCCTTGTTGCACCCGGGTTTTCCAACCTCTCCTGTTGCAGTGACTTGCCCCACAGCATGGGCATAGCAAATGACTCCTGGAGGCCTCGAATTCTATGCTGTGCCGTTGTGCTCTGCCCGTCGGCTTCAGACTTTCAGAAGGGATTGAAAATGAGATGTCGATAGTAGATAGTCCCAGATCCGGACTTACTTCAAGCCCTTCCCCGGTCCTGTGCGGCATCTCACCTCAGCGTGGCGCAACACTGTCGCGCTACCATTTGCCACACGGCGCCGGGACCAAGACTCGAGCTCACAAAACAAAAGGCTGTACAGCTGAAGAGTGATAGTGCTATCAGCTTCTTGCCATGCTACTGGTCGGCGAGCGCTTAGCCGCAGCCGCAACCTGGACCTGGCATCCGCCGCGTGGCAGGCGCACAGGCAAAATTGCACGAAAGCACAAAAAAGGGGGCAACTTCGGCGGCCTTGGGAGCCTCATCTCCTGCCTGAGACATTCAAAAAGTCGCATGCCAATGGACTGGACCTCTGCACAAAGAGTACTCTGCAGTGTTCCTGCCCATGTTGGCCGAGATTCCACCTCGGGCAGAAGGACCTTCGTTGGAGAGCTTGGGACATGCCTGAGTGGACACTCCCCGGATCACGGCCGAGGCGTCAATTGCAGTGCGAGTTTTGTGAGGGCCAGCTGTGGGAGTTCCCGCAAATAGGGGACCTTAATATTGTACCCCAAATAGTAGGATCCTTGGTATAAGGACCCCAAAATATGGTACCCCTAATTTTCGGAAACTCCCAGATGTGCAGCCCGGCATCCGGCATGGAGATGCATCGAGGCTGTCCTGTCGAAAGCCATCGAACCCGCAGCCAGCTTCACGTGACATGGGAGTTTCCGAGAATTAGGGTACCTTATTTGGGGATCCTTATAATAAGGATCCTACTATTTAGGGTACTATATTAGGGTCCCCTATTTTCTGAAACCCCCACATGCAGGCCGCCTTCGAATGAGCCGAGGTCGGAGAGTCGCCCCAGCCGCCCATTGATGGCCTGAAGAATCCTCGCCGGACCAGATTCAGCCGGGTGTCATGAGACCTGATGTCTGAGATGACCCTGCTCCTGGCTCGCTTTGGAGCCGGTTGGAGAGCTTCTGAAGCTCGTGGAGCAAAGGCCGCTTAACATTGATCATATCGAGGCGGACCTTGCTGCTGAGCCCTTGCGCACTAGGCACATTCAAACGATGTTTCCAGTCTACAGTCACGATAGTCCAAGCCCCGGACTTGCTCTAGAGCAGTGTTCATCTCCAGCTGCAAGTTGTGGATCTTCTTGATGTCAGCACCTCGGTTGCCACCTCATGGCCCAGACAGAGTCGGCAGATGGCAGTGCCATCAGGTGCATTGAAGGCGCGCAGGGAGACAAAAGAAGTGTTGTTGGCGTCGCCATCGCCGACTGAGGCGCCCGTCGGCTCACGATCCTGGTATCAAGCATGAAAGACTCACTTCGGACTTCCTCCAATCCGCGAGTAGAGCCAGCAGGCAAGGGACAGGAAGTATGCGCAGAAAAGCTGGCGAGGCATGCGGCGGAGACCTGCGAGCGAGGCACGGGCAGTCGAGAATGTTCTTGCGCCCGGATCAGAACATACTGTAGGGAGTGAAACCTGGTTGCTTGGTGAGAGGGTGATGAAAACCAACAAGGAAGAACGGTGGAGGTGGACAAAGCCGGCGAAGGCCTCGCCGGAAGATCGCATCCCTTCATCTCTCGCTCTTCCATGGCTTGACGCCGGAGGGTGAAGCCGTAGAAATTACCGATGTCTGTCCTGACTGTAGCTTACGGACCTGGCTTTCTCAGGTGGACTTTGAGATGCCAAGACACCACCTAAATCTCCTAATTAGCAACTCTAGCATGATCAGACAGCTTCAGAGCATGAGACTTTGTAAACTCCACGGAGTGGAGGACGCATATTGCATGTCACAGCTGCTGCTTCGAAAGCGATGCGTACATGATTAGATTCTTACAGTAGATAGCACCTTATGGGACTGACACGCCGCTGAAATGGCTGCATCGAGATGATAAAGGCCAGCACCCCACCCCCAGAAGTTTGCTCAGTTGCAACAATAGCAAGGCAGGATGAGGGCAGTAGTGAGGAGACATCGACACTAGCTGGCATCATCGAAAACATCATCATAAGCATCATCATCGTTATCACCAGAATCATCACCGCAGCAGCTGTAGTGCATGAAAGCGCATGATAGCGATTGACAGCATGTGCAATTACGTTGAACTGGTTTGACACAAACCTGCATCAATCCTTCCGTGTGCTTCCACAAGGTTTGAAACCTGCGTCGGATGCCTTCGGCTTCGGCCCCATCCGACTTAGCCTCCTAGGGCTACTCGGCTACTCCAGGGCTCCCGCCACATTCGCAGAGTTCAAGGCCCCGAGGAGATCACCGGCAGTCGCACCTGGCCCCAACCGGCCCAAGGAGTTCAGGGGTCATGTTAGGCCCAAAGCTTCCACAGTGCCATCTCCTAAAACAGTCTCGCGGTCTGGGGCTCCATCTGCCCTTCCCCGATGTCCCGCCAGCAAGGAGAGCAGCAGACATCGCAGCCGCACTGCGCGAGCTCCTGGGTTCACAGAAGCTTTCCCTGCTCTAAAGTAGCAACCGCTACTCGAACCCTCCAAGAAGTCTGTGAACTGTACTTGACTAGCGTAGCAGCCCAGGAACCGCTCACTGTTGCCCCCAGTGCGCATGGCCCACTCCACGGCGAGTCGCCCTGCCAGGGTGAAGTGTTCGCGCAGCAGCTCTCCCCCACAATGAGTTACCTTACGACTACCCGTCCGGCCTTCCCAAGGAGAGACTTCTGACATGAGCTCTTCGCCCAAACGGATGGCCAAGGCAGCACCCGTCTCTGTGGTGCCCTGCAAGATCTGCACAACCCGATCCGCCTTTTCAGACATGCCCAGCATCCAGGCCGAACGTGCCACGTCGATGGGGACGTCTGCACCGCCAAGTGTTGACGCGTGAAGGCTCATCTCTTGCTCTGTCAGGCCGAAGACGGACATGGCTCCGGCGGCTGCCGCCAGCTTGGCCTCCAAATCGGCCTCCAGGCTCAGTGAGCTTTCTGAGGCCGCTGCGGCCAGCAGTGCCATGTGTCCAGCCTCCAATGTGTGCGGCCCCGACCGCCATCTCAGCAAGTTGGCCATGGACCGGCCAGAGTCCCGGATGGCAATGAGGCGCCAGGGCAGACAGCGGAAAGCCGTGTCTGCACACCGGCCAACATGGAGGTGAAAAGCCGTGGCAGCGGCTAGCTGCAGTGCCTCAACGGGGGAGAGGCCGAACTCCAGGCCCAACGAATGAGCCGCTGCCGCCCCCCGATCTGGATGCAAATCCGCGAAGGTGATCCCCATCTGCCCAGCCAGATCCAGCAGGCTTCTTGACCGGCTGGCAATCGACATTCCTGCAGCATAGGCACTCTCGGCAGTTTGGCGAATGATGTCAGCCAGACCCTGCCGTGCTGTGGAGAGCTGCGACAGTGGCAGCCCCAACCAGCGCATCTGCGCATAAGCCACAGCGGTGTCTGCAAAAAGCAGGCTTTTGCCGGCCAGGAGCGCCCCGTCATGGATGCGAGAAAGCTCCACTGATATCTCCTGGCGGGTATGCACAGCAAACCCTAAACCTTAAACCCTAAACGGTTTAGGGTTTAGGGTTCAATTCTGGCTTCAGGGCTGCCACTTCACAGGTATGCGGTGTTTGCCCAGCGTGAGAAGCGAACACTCCTATCTGAACCCCCTCTTCTCTTCAGTACAAGCATCGAGTGAGAAAGAGCTAAGATCTGTACGAGGATCAGAACATCACTGAGTAAGAGATCCAAACAAGAATGCAGAAGAGTTGACTCGCGGCTAAGCACCAATGCACGGCTGTGCATGTCCTGGCACTACCGCGGTTTCGTCTCACTCCGCATGTGGCATCAACAAGACAAGAAGTGCACCTATGGACTTACAGGAGCTTGATCGTGTGATGTGGCGCGGCGGCGTAAAACGCCAGATCCTTGCCCAGGTCTCGCTATTTTCCCTGTGCGTGGCGAGCCCTAGGTGACGGTGCATCGTGGCGAGAGGTTGGCCCTTCGGTCTGGTTCCCCCCTATATCCTGTAGTCCTGCGGTCTTCCGTCCATTGCCATCTTTGCTCAAGGTGTGGTCCTGATTTCGTTTCCGCAGGTGTGGCGGGTGCTTCCGGCCTATCCTAGATTTGGCATCCTTGCGCCACACGGGGGGGTACAGTACTCGTGTTTTGCTGGTTTGTATCAAGATGTGGCTCAAGCGTTCGTGTAAATCGGACGTATGCCCCTGACCTTGCACGCCGTGACAACACGGTGGCACGACAAGCCGATGTGCGTACTTGTCCACAACAGGTCGACCTCCCAGCCCTGGAGATCCCGCAGTCCTGTCTTGGAAGCTGGCCCCCAACGCTTTTGGCCATCTCGGCCACTGTGTCACCCATCCTGGACGCCGGAGTGTCCGTGGCCAAGCGCCGAGATCCAACAGAATCGGACATGGACTGCATCAAGGCCGTGGAGGAGACACCATCTAAGGCTGCACTTAGGATCCTAGTAAGCCTGGCCGTGTCGTTGACACTAGACATCAGCACACCCTGTGCGATGCCGGCAATGCTCTCATTCACGTTGAGCGAACTGAGCGCCAGCTCGGCCAAGGCGGAAAATGCAGCCACGGGCGCCCCAACTGCTAGGCCTGCACTCACCGCCGCTTTGATGGCTGCGCTGGGCAAGAGGTCTGAGCTCAATGCTGCATTCCAAACGGCCAGGGTAGCATTCAGCGGTGAGGAGCGGTTCGTTGCCAAGAGATCCACGGCGACGTGCGAACCCAAGTCTTCCGGAGAAACCGTCGGGTCGAGCACGAGCGACGATCCCATGGATACAACCGCGATGCTTTGGTCGTCGCTGTTGTTGGTGGCCGCAGAGACTACGGTAAGGTCTGCACCGAGCACTGTGGTCGGCATAGTGGCAACAGAATCACGCACACACCCCAGGGCATCCACAACATAGGATCCCATGGTGCAAGTCACACTGCCGGTGAAGGAGTATCCATCAATGCATTCGACGGGACACCTTGGTCAAACTAACAATCACAACAGGACAGAAAGTCAGTAAGAGACGTTTGTTTTACATGGGTTCTTTTCTGCACATAGTCCACATATGTATACATATATATATATATATACCTTTTATTACAATATCAACAGGCCTTATACTCGGCTAGATTTTCGTGCGTGTAGAATAGACTGCAATTGTAAAAGAGAGAGACAGAGAGAAAGAAAGAAAGATAGAAAGACAGAGAGAGAGAGAGACATAGAGAGAGACAGAGAGAGCGAGGTAGAGCCAGACAGAGCCAGAGACCGACAGAGAAGGAAACGATGAAGGATTGAAAAAACTAAAGACAGAAAACAAGTGTCCCGGCAGCGGTTGGAGGTCGTAGTCAGCACCGCGACACCCAAAAATGTCATCGCATCCATGCATCCTCCATGCATACCGGCATCCCTCCGTCCCTCCCTTCATCCATCCCTTTATCCCCCCATTCATCCCTCCATCCATGCGGCCATGCCTCCATTCGCACATCCATCCATTCGTCCATATATCCACGCAACCCTCGTGCGATAAGCCATTCTACAAAGCCCTCCACACCCTTCCACAAGCCATTCTACCAAAACCACTTTCACGACAACACCCTTCGCAACGCTTTCGGGAAAAAGAAAGACAAACAAGAATAAAGGAAGAAAGAAACCTAGGACCTAGGTAGGTAGACATAGACAGGTAGAGAGATAGAAAGACGGAAAGAGAGAGCGAAAAAACTAACCCTTTTCGGGAGAAGTTCCGGGCCCGGGCACTCGAACCCACCAGGCTGGTCGGTGCAGGTCAGCAGGCTGGAAGGCAGTGCATTCCGAATCTGCGGCGCCTGATCGCGAAAAGATCTCAGAAGCGTTAGACGTAGCTTGGCTGTTAACGCAACTAGTCAGTGTGTCCGTCAGAGTCAAATTATCAGTGCAGGGGTGGAGGAAGAGGAGAAATGACAACAGCAGTAGCAGTAGCTGTCATCACCCTCGTCGTAGTAACGGCGGCAGAGCAGCAGCAGCGGCGGCCGCGGCAGCAGCAGTGTCTGTCTACTAATGCTGAGGCTTCCACTGATACAACTTCTGCCCTCTTGAAAGACCTCGAAGTTGTTCACCTCTTGCCTCCTGCCTCTCCTGAGCCTACAATTTCGGCCTCCGGGCATGATTTCTCTATGCAGGGCGTGGACTTGCCATTCACGATGCGCCACTCGCCAGCCTGCATGAGAGCTGTGGGACAAGGAGCTTGGCTGCGATGCAATATCGACAAAAACAAGGTTTTCAACACTTGCCGCTTCCCAGTTGCGGGGCCTCGCAGACGTACCGGGTGGCCTCGGGGTCCGGATCGTAACCTGGGGAGCAGCGGATGTCGCAGACAGCGCCGTGCGGTCGCCCTGCACAGGCTGGATCCTCGGGCTCAGCTTGATTTAGAAAACGATGCCTCACAGCGGAGACACTTTCTCAAGCGTTTGACTTCTGGCCTATGGATGTCTGTGATCATGTGAGGCTTCGGCTCGCTTTAATCAATACATGGGCCAGCACTCCTTTCTTGCGGACTTTCGTTTGTCTGTCTATGTCTTTTTCGGTGTTCCCCCCAAAACTTTAGTTCTCGCCGTCCCTATCGTTGGTCCTTCTGTTGTCCTCGCTGACCTTTCTTGAGCTTCGAACAGCTTCGAACAGCGTTGCGCTGGCGTCTGAACCCGCATACATGCTTTTCATAGGTGGTGGAGCTGTTGGTTTCCACAGCCACCCGGAGGCCCAAAAGCGAGCAAGTTGAGCGGTGCTATCCGCAACACGAGCGACAATCGGTGGGATGGGTTGTTTGCGGATTTCAATCTTCTCAAATTTGCGCACATGCCCGCCCGATGAGTAGTTCAGAGGTCGTGAAGGGGTTATCCAACTCAATCGGGGTGAAGTGAATGTTTCTTGTGGTCAACATCAGGTTCCGATCGATTCGTATGATCAGAAGAACTACCAGCGCGTCGGCAACGCTGGGCCTGGGTTGAGCTATGTTGAGCATGTCGCAATTCTGCAATTACGTCTTGTCGCATACTCGGCTTTGGCGATGGTCCACAGGTTGCCGATGGTGCTGTTGATGCGGCTGCTGAGTATTCCAATGTCGAGCAGTTTCGAGAAATGTCTGGACAACAGGACCTGAACGCAACAAACACGTTCTCGCCCACGGTGACACATGCTGTTGTATCGCATGTCGGTAAGCTTGGTCGCAGTAGAGGGATTGACTATGTGTGTGCTCCACGGTCCATGCGGCAACGCTTTGCAAGTTGATGTGTGCACCGTGTCATATGCGCAGGGTAAACGGTGCGGCTCATGGAGATAGCCTGGCACTGGGACTTCTACAAGATGCAAACCGGTGGTGGGTCGTGACAGGGTGGATCGGGATGGTGCTGGCTGTGCTGGTTGTGGGTCTCGTCATCTTCACTGGCTGGCCCGACTTCGGCAGACGGGAATTTGTTGGAGCTCCAAACCCGTGCTGCCGAAGCGCCGACTCTTCGGTTTGTCCTTCTTCTTCTTTTCATAGGCGTGTCCCGTTTTATAGAACTCTTGATGGTTGCTTTTGCTCTGGTTCTTTGGCCTCTTCAGGTAATTTCATCACGTTCCGTTCAACATCCGAACAGGCTGCAAGAGCTGCAATGCGCCCAAGCCCTCCAATCACCCCCAAATTCTCCCAAAGTCACCGGAAGAATCTAAAAAACATTTTAGCTTTTTTTAAAAAATTTTTTAGCTTCCGGAAGAATCTCGAACCTGTTTCTTGTGAAAGCCCTGAACTCTTCCGGGCTGGCCTTCAGCTCTCCCGGTGTCCAGAGTGGCTCTCCAGAGCCTCAGAGTTTAGGGTTTAGGGTTTAGGGGTTTAGGGTTTAGGGTTTAGGGTTTAGGGTTTAGGGGTTTAGGGTTTAGGGTTCAGGGGTTTAGGGTCGAGGCACTCCGAAGGAGGCGTTGCGCTTCGGTCTGCCGACAAGTTCTGAGGTTTGGGGTGGGGTTGATACGGAAGTCTCCTGTGCACACGCCATGCAGGTTCCTCCCGAATGGATCATCTGTGGTTTCTGAAGGAGTAGGCGCTTTGCAAGCCGGGCAACAAGGCAACGGAAGGCAGTGGAGAAAGCCTTGGAATTGGCCATCCGCGGCACAACGCAGCTCGTGGCCGTCTGACGCATAGCCGGTGGCACAGACGGGGGCACACGTGGAATTGTAGGAGATACCTGTGCAATTGATATTTAGAATACTTGGCTGCAGAATGTCATCCAAAGTCGGCAACGTGCAGTTGATGTCCATGCAAACCTGGCTCGTCACCAGAGGTTGCAGACTCCCGGACAAGCTCCGCTCGACCATCTGCGGAACCGCGCTGGAGGACACCAGCTCAGATAAGTAGATGATGTCAGGATAGGCACTCTCGGCATACGCACATCGGTACTCCACCGGCGGAACTGGCTGCTGATAGTCGGCATGGCAGCGAAGCGAGCAGGCGGCTCCGAAGGGCACCAGGAGATATCCCTCCCCATCTTCTACGAGCGGAAGCGGGCCCGGCTGCCCATCCAGCACGCAGTCGTATGCACCGCCGGGGTGTGAACTCAGGTGGCACGGAAGGTCTACACAGGTCAGGTTGGATGCCCCCAACAGAGAGAATGATCCATCCTTGCAGACATACTCCTCCTCCGAGACGCTGTCGTCAGCCGGCACCCGCGGGCTTCGACAGGTCTCCCTGAAAATCGCTCCCTCGTTTGCGATTGGAAGCTCCTCTTCTTGGCACGGGTTCTCGAAGTGGACCCCTAGCGAAGCGCACGCGCTCACGTGCGCATCCAGATTCGCGATGTTGGCAAGGAGTGGGCAGCAAGATTTGCTGAAAAGACACAAGGGTGCCCGCGCCAGCTCGAGGCAGCTTTCGTTGGAGTTCATCGACTCCGGGACACCCGCAAGACAGCTTGCAGTGGCACTGGCTGTGTCGCAGGTCTCATCCAGCTCCAACTGCTTGCCACATACGTTTTCAACTTGCAGTCCGGCATCTAAGCAGCTGTTGATGCTCCCTTCGATGGGCTGTTCAGCATCCAGGCAACAGCTAGCATCTCGCAGGCATGTAATGGCAGCGGGCAGGGCCACGCAGAATAGCTCGATATCCGTGATTGATATGACCGTCTCCAGGCACGTCTGCGCCTGATTCCGGTCGCATGGAAGCGTAGTGGTTGTGCTTGTGGTTGACACAGTCGGCGATGCCCAGTAGCCAAACTCATAGCCGATGAGAGTCGCACGTGTTCTAGCATCTTCTTCGCCCGGTATATTCTGACAAGGAGGAATACAACGAGGGGGATCGGCCCCGTCCACGAGCCAAGATCCATTCACGCATGTCAACTGCCCAGTCTGCGAGAGGCCATTGGTGCAGTTGAACGGACACGTGGAGCCGTTTAGAGAGTCCATGCCACAATCCTGTAGGGCTGATTCAGGCAGCAGACCTGCATTCGGCACAGCGCTACAGCTGTAAGGTAAGGATGGCGGCACGGAGGAGCAGCTAATACCACCTAGCAGATTTTGGAAGTCCAAAGCTAACACGCCTCGGGCCAGCACCGTCATAGCAGTGAAATCCAGAGAGTCTAGAAAGACTTCAACCATTGCACTCTCGGTGGCAAAGAGAAGCCTGGAGCCAAATTGCCAAGCCATCCTGTAGGTGCCAACCGGAGCTCCTGAAACCGTGAAGGACTGGAATCCCGAGCCCTCGTGCCAGCGCAACAATCCCGAAGGCACCATGCTCGCGACGTAAGTAGAAGCGTCTTCCATGTATACAACGATGCCACCGACCTCCATGGGCGGGATGCCATGTGAAACGTTGGCAGACCAAGTCCGGTCCGTCACCGGCTCCGAAATCAACGCCAGGCCTTCTAGAGAGCTGATGGTGGTGTCGCCTGCAACATAGAGAGTGCCGTCGCTTCGAAACGCGACCGATCGGACACTCGTGCCGTTTGGCAGGCGCGCGACGAACTCAGTCTGATTCTCAGCAGCACGTGCTACGAATACGCCGTCACTGTACGAGATAAGGCAGTACAGTATAGAGTCTTGGGGATTTACCTCGCAGGCATTCACGCGTCCAGCTCCCACATCCAGTTGAAAAAGCCGTTGCCATGTTGCATTTGGAAGAAGGCCTGCAATATCATAGACGCCTGCGCCGTCATCTCGAAGTGCAAATACTGTTGATTCGCCCAGACTGCAGTCAAAGGTGCTGAACGTTGAGCACTGCAGGTGAAGCAACAAAAGGCATGCAGTTTGCAGCACCAGCGGCCGGCGCAAACCCATGAAGCGATGCAAACCTCAAGTTGGTTGTTTTTGCTATAGGAGCTGCATTTGCAAAAGCTGAGCTAGGAGGTCGGAGCACGGCTGTTCCTCCATATTGTGCTTGGGCGTGTCCTGTGGATGCGAAATATGCTGGCTGCTACTGTCATGGTGGCAGCGTCGTTCCGGAGCATCTGCCACACACCTGCTGGAAATTCGTGCGCTGGCGAAGCTGCGATCTTCCACGGCAACATTCAAGTTACCACGCTGGCCACACGACGTTCATGATTTGGACGGAGGCTTGTCAGCTGTTGTAGAGCTGGGGATTGGTGTTGCACAGGTTTTGGTTTGGGTTGGGGGGAACCAAGGTGTCAGAAGCAGCTCGACCACGCATCACGTTTTACTCTTGCTCCTTGGGCTCCTTGCCGTCATGTGTGCAGCAGGCTTTGCTCCCTTCGGTTGATAAAACCATATGTTGAAACTGCCCCTGGACAAAAAGTACATTTTTCGGGACATTGTTCTGTACTTGATTAGAACAGGACTGTGAAGTACAGCTCCACTGCTGCCGCTTTGCAATTGCCTAATTGGCTGCATGCAAAGCAAAGACGTAGTGCACTCCTGCTCAGCCTGTCCTGAAGCGTTTGCTTCCGAAAACGGTTGCAAGCGCCTTTCTGGCATAAGCACTGGCTCAGCATTGTAGTCGGCACGATTACAATGATGATAGTGCTTGTAGACATCGCTACTTCTGCTAGTACCGTGCTGGAGTCCCAGGTCGTAGTCTTAGTCTTAGTGGGAGCATTTCGGACGCTCGCCTATTCGTATCGAACGCATATTCGTCTTAGACATAGTCTCGTAGTCATCGTCTTGGTCTTGGTTTCAATGTCAGTACCAACACTAGGAGCAATAGGACCGGTGGCGGGGCAGCTGTAGCAGTGTAGTAGTAGTAGTAGTAGTAGTAGTAGTAGTAGTAGCAGAACCAAGTAGTAGTAGTAGTAGTAGTGGT